TCTACATCCAATGGCCTGAAAAACATGGTAGGCACATGTGTGTGTGTGCCCAAAAATCCCAAAAGGAAGGCGATATGAAGGAGAAGGGATTGTGGTGTGATTGTGCTCCACAGGAAGGGGGAGTTTTCTCTTGCTCACTCTCTGGCAAGTGCATATGTCCCCTGGCAAAATTAAATCCAAAAAACGTATGAAAAATGGGATAAAAGTATGAGTTTACTTTGGTGCAAAAGTGAAATCCATGCATAGTTTTTCTATAATTTGCACTTCCACGAACTCTTTCAAGTCTCCCTTCATACCTGCGTTGCTATAGATGATACCGTGATCTTTCTTGATGTCCCAGGGAGAAATCTGGCCATCATCCTGAATTCCTCCCACTCCATCACTGTCTAACTCACTTAGCTAACCTAATCCACTCAAGTGTATCTCACAAAGACCCCATGAACACATGCCTTCGTCTCCATTCTTACAGCTGCTTTCTTTGGTCCAACTCCATTTTCTTCTTCAATTACCAATCTATTCTCCTATCTCTCCACTGGCCTTCAAATCCAGAACCCCACATCCCCTCCGTATTTTAATATAGCCTCCACAATGCGGCAAGGGCCCTGTTTCTAATATGCAAATCTAAGCAGGTCCTCCTGCTACAGAAATTTCTCCAGTAGGTTCAGGGTAAAAGATGAAATCCTTTGCAAGACCTAAGGTCTGGCTTTTCCTTTTCCAGACCTCTCCCCCAAATGCATAAGGCAGAGTCTCCTTGGTCAAGCCCTCTCATCACCATGCCTTCATGCACGCAGTTCTCTCTGCAGATAATGCCGTCTTCACCTCCTATTTGGCTGCCCTTAATCATACTTAGAGACTCAGGTCCAGGTATTTTCTCCTCCAGGAACTTTCCTCATCTTCCTTCCCTCTGCTTTGACTTTGGGCCCTTCTTGGTGCCTGCCAAACTCAGGGCAAGTCTCTGAGACAACATATTTTCACAGCGTGCACCTGCATCAGGTACTTGTCTGAGGCTTATGTGACCAAGAGTCCCTTGAGGCAGAAGCAGTATCTCACCTCTGTCTTCCCAGGAGCTACTTAGTACAGAGTTTATCTCAGCAGAACCTCAAAAAAGTCAACTGACTTGAAGAGGACAAAAGCAAAACTTGTGAATCAGTCATTCATTCTTTCTCTTTGCTCCCATACAACACAGCCACATCACTGTCGACAGCCCTGGCATTTGGTAAGTCGTTATAAGTTTTCTAAATGTTGGGGGTTTATACCTCTTCTTTAAGGGCATGGCTGCTAATGTGGGGGCCGAAAGTACTTTTTTCACCAATTGACTTCTTCTCTTCTATATTTTCTCTTCCTTCTAGGAAATTATGGTAATGCTCCCCCAACCCCCATCCTCCTTGGCCACCTGACAGCTCTGCTCTAGAGAAGAGGTAAGAGCACACATTCCACTCATGTTGCTCAGGGGGAAAAAAGGATATTACCATCAAGTACAGACTAAGAATTAAGAATCTTTTCCCTGGAATAAGTGACAGTGAAGTTTTGTTTTGTTTTGTTTTGAAGAAAACAAGAGTAAGGTGAATTTAGAAAGCACAACCAGTATAGTTGGTTCAAATGTGTGTAACCAAGTGACCTCCACAGGAAATGGTAAAGGGGAAAAATTTCATACCCCAGTTCAGCTTCCCATTTCTTGTGGGTTAATTTCAAGTTGAGTAGCTGATCCCATTCTTTCTTCAGCCTGAGATCCCTACCCCAAGGGACACGGTCAGTCTGTGCTTCGAAGCTGACTTCAACCACCAGGATGGTATTTACCATAAAAGGAAAAACAAGTCAACCCTGGCAGATGATGTTAATCTTTTGAGCGCACGAGTTGATCTGCTTGGGAGAGAACTGGGTGACCATCTCTGGCAGAGAGTGCTGACACCAGGACAAAGATAAAAAGACTAGATCAATGTGTGTGGAAAATCAAAGAAAAAATAAGAATGCTAGGCCACGAGGTTTATTCCACACCTTTGACTCAGGAGGCACATCCCTAAGGGACGATCTATAGTCACACCTGGCTGGTCTCTCCAGGTGAAAAAGAAGGAATGGATGAGCAGCAGTGTTTCAGCAGGTATGCACAGTTCTTGGCCGACAGATGGATTCGTACTAAACCACCCGGGTTCATTGTGGTGACTCGTTATTCTTTTCCTGAGGTGCGAGGTGAGGGCAGCATGTCTTCCCTGTAGATTCAGGAACTGTTCTGTTTACGACAGATTCCTTATTGTTCTTACACACTGAGTGCTTAAAAACGAGAAAAATGGCAGTAAGAGGAAGACATTTAGACACGATTCAAAGGCCCGAGCGTGTGCCTGGGTCACAGAGAGAAAAAGTCTATCCCTGAGGAAGAGCGAGCTCTTTTTAGAAGCACTTTGCCTGGTTTCATATTTCATTTCTCAAAAAGTGTGAATTAATTTGGAAATTGGACCAAGGTCTGCTCTTAGAGATCAGACGATGAACCTTGGGATGGTTATGTTAAGAGCTGCCTCTTGGGAGCTCTCTTAGGGGACCATGTTGGATGGCTTCGATGACAGAAGAGTCCTTAACCATGGCCATCATGCAGCAGGACTGGGGGAGGGACATTTGGGGTTAATAAACACTGGGCCATGACACTTTGGAATGCTAGTGTTTGAGGGTGTAGACATTTGTACTGTTTGATCTGTCAGTTGGTTCTTTTCCCACAAAGAGAATCCTTCCTGATCTATAATGTTCCTTCCTTAAAATGTTTTTTTTTTTTTTTTGCCATTTAATTTGCTGACTTTGTATTTTGAATCCCAATCCAATTCCTCTGGAGAAGCAAAGTTCAATAGCGAGCAGAAGGTGGAAATACATGGAAGATGATCCTTTGCTTCACCCCGTCACCAAATATCTTGTCTTCTGACCACACCCATTAGCCTAAGAGGAAAATTCTGGACGTGAGATCTTGTCTGTGTTATTTTCTGACTGAATAAGCTCTGAGAAGATAGTCCTTACCAATTCTAAAGAAAGAAACCAAGTAAGTTTATATAGAGCACATTCCTGGAACTTTGGAATATTTTGTATTCAATTTTTCCCTCGTTTATTTTTAAGAACCTGCTTTTATTATTTTTTCACTTCAAATTGTAGGTACACAATGAACCCACCTTTGTTTTGGGAGAATGTCTAAGGCAAGCACAGGGTCTCAAACAAAACAAAACAAAACAAAACACAAATAAATGAATAAATAAGGAAAGAAAGAAAACAAAGGAAAGAAAGTAAACAGAAGAAAGAAAGGAAGAAGACCAAACACCTCAAAGCCAGACAGAGCAATCAGCATTTCTCTCTGAGAGAGAGCTGTATCCTGGGAGAGGCCTTTCCCATGATCCTCCTTGCCCTTTAACACTAAGGCCAATGCCTCCTCCTCAGTCCTAACTAGAGTGTTTCCATATGCTTCTTGGAAACAATCCGCCAGGTACTGCCCTTCCCCTGGAAAGAAGTCAAAGTCAATGCTGCTCAGCTTCCCTTGGTGCCCTGGGTATGCCAATGCCCCGTGATGGGGGCCAGGCCAGGCTTACTTACGTAGGACATGGTTGTGCCCCACCTGACACCCACCATCACCTGGCCTCACCTGCTTGAACATGAAACCACGCAGCATAAACTATGACCCATAGTTGAACCATGCAGCAAAATTATGACCCAGTCCCCAAAAACCCTGAAAAAGGCAAGAGGACAACTCCCTCCGGGCCAAAATGGCCCACTGTGTGCTGCCTATGAACTACCTTTGAAGACCCATCAGTATCATTAGAGAACAACACATCTCACTCACTCTGGGCTCTCAGCACAGCCATCACGGATGGGGTGGGACGGCAAGGCACGGGCCTGAGCAGCTGAGTGGGAGACTCGAGATATGCGCCAGGCAGGCAGCTTCGCGTCAGCCCCACTCCTCGAGTCGACAGCCGGGTGCTCTCTTCCTGGCAATGGGGCAGTTGTGGCATGCTTTCCGTGCCAGGCTTCTGCGGGTCAGGGGGCCCCATACAGAGCCTCTTATGTCAGCTCTGATTTTTTCCAAAGAAAGATTAGAAACAGCAAAACCTCAGGACTATTAATGCCAGCAAAGCGGGGCCTGTTAGAGCCTCCTCTCAGCACTGTATCCCCGAAGCAAGACTGGTTATTGTTTCCCCGTCTAAACTGCTATTAGTGTGTCTCTGATGAGCAGCTTTCCCTGAGGACTTCCCAGCCCTTGAACACTGGAGTCTAAAAATATAGAATGCACGAATCCTCTTTGAACCTATCACAGGCAATTTGGAAGTCTCTACCTCCTGATGAGTATCTCTGGGAGAGGGTAGATTTACGGGGCAATGTGGGAACAATTTATTTAGGCTGCACAAAAGGCCTCTATCACCTACATGTCACTCTGTCATCAGGCTTAACAGATCAGGCTTAAATCAGAGATTCTCAGTGGTATTTTCATGTCCCTTAGACAGATGCAAAGAAAAGGGTTCAAAGGTTTCTTTGGATATCAAAGAAAAAAGGAGAGAGTAAGGTAGCACCACTGCAATTCTGCATTAAGAGAGATTTTAAAAGGAAAAAAAAAAAAGATCTTGTGGTTTTTCTGTACTATCGACAGGCCCCTGGCTACAGCAACAAGACAGACGGAGGAGATGTCCAGCATTTTACAGACAGCAGGCCCCGTGGCTGGGAGCTGGTTCTCACTTAATTGTCTGCAAGTCAGTGCACCGGGGGAAAACAACGACAACAGCAACAAACAACAGAGAGGTGACCTCTCTTGCTCTGTTTCCAGTTTCCCAGGTTTTGGCAAGAAGCACTGGAAGCAGCATCTAGGGAGTCTAAGTCCTTCCTGCCATGGTCGACCCTGGAGTTCTGGAAGGGATGAAGCAGAGGCATAAGCCTGGGGTGGAGGAGTGGGTGCCTTCTCTCACTGACTACCTCTCCTTTTACCCTTGGGACTCCGCATACAGGGAGGGTCTGCGCCCGTGGTTTCTCATTTAGTCACTCACCTTTCATACCACTACCTTCTTCTTGGAATGTGTTACGAGCAGTGGTCTGATCTTCTAAGTGTTCACTCCCACCACTTCCTGAAGAGGCTACACTGCTTTGTGGAGACAGGGGGGCATGATCGGATGGGAGGCACTGGGGTCCTCTAGCTCGTAAGTCCTCATGAGACATCCATCCATGTCCTAGAGGCTGGTTTGGCACATTCATGGGTGGGGTAAGGGACACAGATCGTTTCAAAGGGCTGTGGTGTGCCTGGCCTGAGAGAACTGGAAAAAAAAAATAAAATGAAATAGGTTATTCCCCCCCCTTTAGCCTGGGATGCAGAACCCACAATACCTCTTAACCCTGAGAGATTCTGCTAACTGTCTTAGAACTCCATCCGTGGTTGCCACAGGCTGAATATAGGCCTGGCATGGTCTTCCCTCAGGTGGTTAGAAGGAGGCTGGCTATACCTCTCGGTGGGCTGGGTTTCTCCAAGGAGGCTCAGCCTGCAGTGCCCACATCTGGCCTTGGCCTCGGTGGTTCTGGATCTGGTTTCAGCTCGAAGTCTAGAAATCAGGATTTATAGCAGTGGGCCCATTGAAACAGGCCAGGCTGGCCAAGTGGCCAACTGCCAAAAGGGAAAAGATATGTGCTGGATGATTTGTTTTTAAACACAAAATCTGACATTACCCCTGTTGTTAGGGAGGATTGCTTGAAGGGCAAGGCAGGCTGGGCACCATTTAGGATCTTCATGGGGCTGAACTAGAAGAAGGTGAACTAGTCCTCCCAACCAGGAATCAGGGGGACGATCACCTCTGAGGGGTGGGACAGGCTCTAGAAGGGGCCCCAGGACTAACACGACCCCAGGGTATGGGCACAGGCAGCTGGGTGTGAAAGGACGTATTCTTCCCCTGGGCCTCACAGGTTAATGCCAAACTTTCTATTGCAAACACTTCCAGGTAACAAGGCTTTCATTGAGAAGCCAGTGGGGCACCCTCAGCAAGCTGGGGATGAATGGTTTTTACCAGCATGTTCAGCCCTTCCACATGGTGGGTAACATCTGTAGAGACCCCGTGTTTAATTTCTTTTCCAGAAAACGAGGAAAATCCAACAACACTCACATAACTAGCCAAATTAAATTGAGGTCATTCATTCAAGGGGGGGATTTAACCAAAATCAACGCTGAGGGAGCTGAGTTCCCTTCGGTTGGTTTTTCTGGGTGTGTAAAGTGACAACTTTACAAAATAAGCCTATTCATAACATTCTCTCAGCACCAGTTCCTGACAGTCCAGTTTATTTTGACTGCTGCTGGAATTGAGCCACATGCATTTTTAAACATTTTTCAGGGAAGCCATTAAATTCCATCTCAGGCTCTATCCCTCCAATGAAGTGTTTGCTCTCCCAAGTCAAGACTAGTATTTCTTTGCTGGAGTTAATCTGTTTTTTTCAATAAGCAGCCGAGACATCCCAATGGTGACAGGTCCTGAGCTTTTTGTTCAAGTGCATCTCTGAGAAACATTCATATAGAGCCCTGAGCAGCAGATTACTTAAAAAGATGAAGACCAAACCCCAAACCCAAAAGGCTGGGTGTTTCCCGAAAGTGGGCTTGGGGCAGCAATGGTATAGGTGGGCTGTGGATGGTCCGCTGGTAGAAGGCAAGCCCTGAATCAATGGGCATTGTGTCTCTATGGCAGACGTTTCCATAAGACCTCAAGTGGCCAGAAGGGCAACCTTGTGTGTGAAGGAAGGACAAGTAGGAGGGCTGGAAACGGCTTTATTAATGAGGAAAAGGGAAAATGTGCATGTTTAGCATATGCAGAAATTTCTATTTGGGTTGATTTTATTAAAGGCAAGGAATTATTATCTAACTTAAAAATATGCAAAGGGGACACTGTTTAAAAAAAGAAATAGATTCTAACAGGCTGAAACAGTGTGTGTTTTCACTACATATATGAAGGAGAAAGCATTTTAAAAGGCTCCCTGGAAAATAAATTGCTACCTGGTTGGATCGAAATGAGCAAGAGGAAAAGAAAAAGAAATAACAACAACAACAACAGAGAAAGAAAAATAAATAAATAAAAAGGAAGCAGCAAAAGTGAGGAGAAAAGCCCATAGGAAGAAAAGTCAGACATCCAGAAAAATCCATTTCATGCCTGTCTAAATATTTATATAAAAGTGGGCAGACTTGTTTAGGGTTGCCCGAATGCTGGGAAATTCCAGCTTAGATGCCTCTGCAGCCATTTAAAAATATCTGATGGAGGTTTTGAATGGTACAGGTCCTGTGAACCCCAAGTGTAAAGGAGGGTTCCTGTGCACAGGCAAGATGAGAGGGAACCTGAAACCACAGAAAGAGGTCTTGCCGAAGAGCGGCACATAGCCCAGAGCTGGTGGGGCCATCGGCATCTAGGCCGGTGACAGGCAATGAGTCAGTCACTGCTCTATAACCACGTGTGGCTCCTGCCTGGGAACAAGCAGCAGCTACACGCGACTGGCTACATCCAAAGTTCCCACCTCTGGATGCTGAGAACAACATAATACATATGCAGCAGTTGAATTCCATTGCTGGATGGAGACAATTTGCTTCTTTGAAGCCACATACAATTTTCTTAAAATCCATGCTGTCTTCCCTCCTGAAGGGCATCTTTAGGGAAGATGTCAGTGCCTGCAAACTCCACTGTTGAGAATGGAACTAAATGTTCACCTAACTTAATGGGCTTACAGGGATTTGCTCACGGAAACCGACACCCATGTCTTCATTTTCCTGAGCTTTAACTGAAGCCACAGAGGATATGGCGTGAACATGGCCTCGGCCTCTGTCCAATAAAAATCAGAGATACGTGGGCCTTTTCCAATGACTTCCTACCCAAGGGCTGAGCCTCTCTACGCCATAAAGGCTGCCACCTTATTCCTACAGCTGCCACCAAGCTCAGGAATGTCTCCTTAGGAATCAACTTGCTGTGGCAACCAAGCACAAGGTCTGGCATTAAGCTTCTGAGGTGAAGAGAGGGTGGTGGGTTTAGAGCCAGGTTGAATGGCACACCTAAATCAAAACTAAGCTGTGCTGGGCAAATGCCTCGTTTCTTTTTTTCTTTTCTTTCTTTCATTTGTTTTTTTAGTTTTTTGCCTTAGGGTGCAGGTACTCTTCAGGAGAGACATAGAGAAGGAAAGCAAGAAATCACCCCTTGGGGGAGATGGCCACGCCACAATCTCTTTTCCTCCATTCTCCTGGGATTTTTGGCATGCACATGCAGGTGCCCAGCATGTTTTTTAAGCTGCCAGGCTGGGACTCAAAGACCATGTGGGAATCCATTGCCTAAACCACCATGCCACTTGCAGGCCCCATGCCTCGTTTCTAGAAGAAAAAAGAAAAAAAAAAAGAGGAAGGGAGGTAGTCCAGGCTTGTCTTCCTGTGTGAGGGAGACTGAAGCAGATGACAGGTAACCTGCCAATGGGCCACTTACGGAGAAGACAAATCTCCAGGTGTAGGTAGGCATGATGACCAGAGGCTGATTTTGATGTTACCTTTTCTGCTAGAGGACTTGCTTGGCGTTAAGTGGCTGAGGAAATAATAAATGCCACAGGCAAAGTCTGCAAGTAAACAGGCCACACAGACACAGTTGTGGAATTAACGAGGTGGTTTAGTATGGATAGTGGCTCATCTCCCTCACCCCGCTCCATTTTATTTGTTAAACTTCAAGAATTCATCTGTAGTGGCAAGTAGAGGGAGAGAAGGATGCTCAGGAAAGAAAAAAAAAGTATTCTCCTACGAGTAGGGAGGGGGAGAGCCATAAAACAGACTTCTGAGAAGCTTTTCAGCCTGTGTTAGCTGCCCCAGAATGACTCTAGCCAGAGGCTTTTGAGTGTTCTTGCTTGTAGCTTGCTGTGCGGTAGACAACGGCTATCAGATTCATTCAGGCTTAGGCTGCAAAAGCAATATTCAAATGCTGCAGAATTAAGTCCATCTTGGAAAGACTCTCAACGTAGGTTAGAAATTGGCAAAGAGCAGCAGAACTGAAGTCCTAAATTTATACTGCATTTGTGACTTTTACGATAGTGTGGGTAGAGAGAGTGCATATTTTAAGATGAATTCATTCTAGTGAAAATCATACTGAAAGTTACCCATGGGAGCAAAATGGAACCCCTTTTGCTCATGGAAATGGAAACTAAAACTATATGTACAACACAGACTCTATACTGCTTGAATTTTTAGATATCATTCACTATAAAAATTTGAGGTCTGTGCTCATGTATGTGTGTATGTCTTCATACATATGTCATTAGGACACTAATTTTTGAAACATTTATAAGTTCAAAGGAACCAAAAGTAGTATTGATTATGCTTCCTTGAACTATGGGGAAAACAACTAAAAATACTCTTGCCAGAGATTGGAGGGGCATGGTGGGAGCACTGAGGATCTTCAACCCTGGCAATAAACTTGGTCATACCATTCAGGGCCAGCCAGCTTTTCTGACCTCACCCAACCTGATGATTTATTTTTCACCTCCAGCATTTCTTTCTTTCTTTTTTTTTTTTTAAGAGAAAATTTTGCAATAGGGCTTGTATGTTTGCCAGAGAGATAGAGAGAGAAAGTGAGAAATCACCCCCTAGGAGGGATGGCCACACCACAATCCCAGCTCCTCCATTCTCCTCTCAAGATTTTGGGCACATACGTACTGGTGCCCAGCATGAGTTTCAAGCCGGTGGGCCCAGGACTTGAACCATGGCTGGCCATGTAGGAGTCCAGCTCCTTACCCACTATGCCACCTGCTGATCCCACCTCCTAGCATCTTTAATGAGACTCCTTTTGACTTTTTTTTTTAGGAGAAAATACGATACTGGGCTCTGGATTCTGTTCTTTTAAGAATTTTCTTGAAAGCCTAGAATTCAGATTTCTTTCCCATTTTCTTTTATCAATCTTTACTTCCTCTTGATTTTAATTATTCAAATAAGATTTGGGAAAATGTTCCCTGGATATTTCGTATTTTTTTAAGAACATGAAAATATCTGCCTTCTTATATGAGAAATAGTTGGGTTTGTGGATAAAGTGAGTTTTGGGATGGTGGCCCAATTTTTCCCCTGGTTCACTGTCAAGGACAGATGTGATCCTCATAAGCAAATTGTTCGGGTAACTGCAGCGAAACTTGTATCAGAACTTCATCCTAACAAATGGCATTTCAAAAACACATGGCTTACTTCTCTACCCTCCTTAAACTTACACACTGAACATATACTTTAAAACATATTGTTATGAGCATGGATTCCTAACATTTTGGATCTGTAAGC